CTGGGGGACAGACTCAGGCCACCTCTGAGGGGGGTGGGGGCAGATACAGCTCACCTCTACCTGCCTGAGTCCCCTGTCCTACAAGCCATGGGTGATCCCTCCTGCTCAGAAAAGCCACCCTCGGATGTCCGGTCCTTCTGCGGGACCTTCTGGACTCTTCGTTACACTCAGAGCTCATTCCCCAGGTCCAGCTCCACAGGCCCCACCCAAACCCGTGCAGGCAGAAGTGTCCAGAACGTCCCAGCTCCCAAGAAGGAACAATGCCTGTCCCATTGATCGTGTCACCCGCCAGCGAGGCCAGCGCACTCCCCCCACCAATAGTTTCCAACAGACGACTGTTTCTTCCATAGAGTGTACAGTGTCCCCTTAGGGGAGTACAGGAGGGCGCAGAATGGCCCACACTTACTGTCAGACTCCGCTGCCCTAGCTGTGTTGGAGAACTCGGGGTGTTCACAGTGGGGCTCTGGAATTGCTGGGGTGGCCTGTTCTCATCGTGTGCTGAGGACCACTTGTGGGTCCCCCATGTAATGCCCCGAGAGGGCTTGTCCCCAGGGCCCGGCACCTTTAGGGACGAAGGGGCCTGCATTTCCCACAGCTCTGTGACCCTCAGGGCCTAGCCAGGGCTTGTACACATTAGGTGCTCAATGAATGCTTGTGAGTTGGGATGAGAAGAAGGCTGCTGCAGCTTGACCTCGGGTACCCCGCTTTCCTTCTGGGCCTCAGTTTCCACGTTTGTAAAAGGGGACACCCCCTGACTGCTGCTCAGGGGGGTGAGGAGCAACCAGGACGAGAAGACCTGAAGTACAGAGCTGTGGGGCGGCTGACCCTTCTCAGGCCAGCTGCTCACACTGACCTTCCTGCCCCAGGGTGACCGCTGCATCATGGGCCAGCAGAGAAGTTTCCGGAAGAGAAAGCCCACATCCTGGTGCATCAAGGGGAGGAGCTTCACGTCGGCGCTCACATCCCATGTGTGTGAGTGCAGGGACTCAGACTTCCTCTGGTGAGAAAGCTCACAGGTCCTCCCACCTGGGCCTCTCACAGCTGCTTGAGCCTCCTCACAAGATGGCCGCCCCCCACCCCCTCCGGTGAAGGATCTAGGAGAGTGAGGAAGGGTCACCAGTGGCTACACTAGGGTTGATGTCACCCAGTGGGGTAACTCATGGTATCCCCCCACCCCGGTGAGATTGGCCAGCTGGTAACCACCCCCCAGGTGGGTGAAGTGGCCCAGCCCTGCCCCATCCCTGCACAGGCTGAGCACCACACTGCGAAGCCCTACCCTTCCTGGCCCCACCCCACTGCAGCTCCCCGCAGCTCATCCCCTCTCCCATTAGACAAGGTGGAGACCCTCCTCTCCACCCAGTGGTGGGCGCCGTGGCCCATCCGCCTGCACCTGACTGGCCGGTGATGGGGGAGGGGGCTGAGGAGTTACTGCACTGGGGGATGAAGGACACCAACCCTAGTGGCCCCACTACCTTGGTGGCCCCTCCCCCTGCAGTGCTGGTCCATCCCCCACCGCTGCCACTACAGACCTTGGGGTCATTTTGGTGTCACCCCCCGCCCGACAGTGTCAGGGGTGCGTTCTGCACCCCCACACCTCCGTCGTGACACCACTGGGAGCCGCCTGCCTTGTACGACCCATCTCAGAGCCACACGCCATCAGTCCCGCCTTGTTCTGTCACAGAACTGAGTCACCCAGTCCATCCCGTACTGGGGCGAAGCTCCCCCTGAAGGGAGGGGTGTGGACGAATGTGTGGACATGGTGTTAAAAGCACACGGTGGCCTGCTCACCTGGGAGAAGAGAATGAGGGATAGGCCAGGGCACTGGGGCAAACTGGATACTGTGCCTGCCCCAGCCCCTTCTGCCATCCAGGGCTGAAAGCCCCCTGACCTAACCACCCCCTGCTCTGCTCCAGTGACTCTGAAACTGCCCACCCCCCACAGGAGAACATCCCAGTTCTGGGACCTGCCTCTCGGCACCATCCCTCACCACCTCATTTCCACCTTGCATTCCGGCCACCTCTGCATGTCCCTCCCTGCAGAGCTCCACCCCTTCTCTGCCCTGGCTCTGTCTTGCTCCTCCTTCAAGACTTGGCTCAGTCTCTTCTCCAGGAAGCCCTCCAGGGTCACCTTCTGAGTCCCTCACCACCCTGGCACCTAACTGTCCATTTTCAGACCTGTGGATTCCTTGCTGTGTCCCCTGCAGCCTCTCCGGGCCCCACCTGTGTGGACCCTGACTGCTGTTCTTCTCTCCTCCCAGCGACTACGGGTTTGAGCGCACCCTGTCCACAGAGTCCAACACCAGCAAGTGCTTGGCCAACTTCTGGTTCAACCCAGTGTCCCCTCCGGATGACTGTGCCCTGGGCCAGACCTACAGTGGCAGCCCCGGGTGAGTGGGCAGAGCCTTATGGGGCACGAGAGGACACCAGGGTGGCCTGTCTGCAGGACTCATGGCCATTGTCAGAGACTGCCGTGACCTGGGCTCCTGGGCCAGAGGAGCCACGGTAGGGTGGCTGACCTGGGCCCACATGGCTGGTGTCACAGGGAGGGGCCTGCAGATGGCTCTGAGCAGAGAAAAGGGACAGAGAAGTTTCTGGGGGCCCGGTAGCTCATTCCTGCTATGAGGGCTTCAATGGGGCTGCGTCTCCCCCACCCAGAAAAGCACCCTCCCCCAGTCCTTCTAAGCCCTGTGGTGCCAGGACCCCTACCCACTCACTGATGCCTCATGAGCCCAACCCTGAGCTGGATGCTGGAGATGCATAAATGGCACCTCCTCTAGGCAGCCTTCCCTGACCACCTGCCCTGCCCTGCGCTTACTCTGTCCTAGCCGACACGCCTGTTCTTGTCATCACTCACCTCGTTGTCCTCCCCGCTGGACTGTGAGCTCCATGACACTTGGAGGGACACCTTCAGCACGTGGTGTGGGGAATACCAGCTGGGCAGGAGGGTGAGGGGCCGCAGGCATTAGCGACATGATACTTTCCGCCACCAGGTCCCCTGAGTTTGCCTTGGGCAGAGAGAAGTACCTTAATTGCCCAGAGTAGTGTGGGGGGTTTGCAAGTCACAATTCGGACGATGTCCCCCTCCTTGGCTCTCCGCCGGCCTCTTAAAATGACATAAGGTCATTGGGTACTGCCCACCGGCCTCACCAGCCTCAGCTCACCTCACACCTGCCCCCTTGGGCTCCAGCCACCCCAGGGCCTTTGCACATGCTGTTCCACTGGGTGCTGCCTCTCTCCTGCTCACCCTCCTCTGCCAGGTGGAAGCCCCTCCCTCAGGGACCAGACCCCTGTGCCACCCCCTCCTGAGCTTCCCACAGTTGGGCTTCTCATCACCCCGGGAGGGGGGCAGCCATCACACACAAGGGCAGGCCATGGACACCCTGGGAGGTGGTCCGCCCCCACGCGGCTGTCGCCCACAAGGGCAGGCGTGTGGACACCCCAGGAGGTGGTCTGCCCCCAAGCAGCCGTCGTCCACAAAGGCAGGCGTGTAGTCACCGTGGGCCAACTCCTGCCCATGTGGGCCAACTCCTGCCCATGTGGACTCTCGGTGAACATGCAGGAAGGGCTCCACGCACAGTGTCCCTTAGCCCGACTCTCAAGGTAAAAGGGAAACAGAGGCAAGAGAAGAGGGGGTGTATTTGGTCCAAGGCCACACCATGAGTCAAAGCATGGCCAAAATTGTACCCCAGCTCCTCTCAGGCCTCAGCGAGACCGCGGAGTACAGAGGTCTCCTTGGGGCCCCTCAGTGAGGCCGCGGAGTGCAGGGGGCTCCTCAGGGCCCCTAAGCGAGGCTGCAGAGTGCAGGGTTCCTCGGGGCCCCTTGGTGAGGCCTCGGAGTGCTGGGGGCTCCTCGGGGCCCCTAAGCGAGGCCATGGAGTGCAGGCGGGCTCCTTGGGGCCCCTTGGTGAGGCCTCGGAGTGCTGGGGGCTCCTCGGGGCCCCTAAGCGAGGCCATGGAGTGCAGGCGGGCTCCTCGGGGCCCCTAAGCGAGGTGACGGCAGCTGGCATTGTCTCAAGCACTCGGGTCAGATCCTGCCCTCGGGCACTTTCTCCTGCCTCAGTTTCCTCCTGTCTGAGCTGGGGCAGTAAGAGCAATCGGGTAGGGGTGGGATGGGACTTAGAGGCCCGGCGGCCGCCTCTGCTGTCAGTGTGCATCCTGCCCCAGTGGTGGACCCAGCCCACCTCCTCACACCAGCCTTGACTCCTCTGGTCACTGCAGGTACCGGAAGGTGGTGTCCAACATGTGCGAGGGCGGCGTGAACCTGCAGCGCGGTGCGGCGCTGCTCCAGTGCCCCCTGATGCCGCCCCGGGGCCTGAGGGTCAGCATCCGCGGGGAGGCGGTGGCGGTGCGGCCGGGCGAGGACGTCCTGTTTGTGGTGCAGCAGGAGCAGGTGAGCAGCCCCAGACCACGCGCATGCCCACCGCAGACAGGTGACAGCTAGTGGGCTGGAAACCCGCTTCCCGGTCCAGACCCGCAGTTCAAGCTGAAACGTAGACCCTGGGAGCACCTCAGGGGGCGGCGAGCAGAGGGCAACGTGGTGCTGGGGTTCCTCGTTAGGGGTGTGTGTGTCTGTGTATCTGTGTGTTATATGTGAGTGTGTGCATCTGTGTGTGTATCTGTGTGTGCGTCTGTGTGTGCATATGTATGTGTCTGTGTATCCGTGTGTTATATGTGAGTGTGTGCATCTGTGTGTATCTGTATGTGCGTCTGTGTGTGCATATGTATGTGTGCTGTGTATCCGTGTGTTATATGTGAGTGTGTGCATCTGTGTGTGCATCTCTGTGTGAGTGTGTGTGTAGCGTGTATCTTGAGTGTGTGCGTAGTGGTGTGTGGTGTGTGGGTGCGTTGTGGTGTGTGTGATGTGTGTATCTGTGTAGTGTGAGTGTGTGTGTGTAGTGGTGTCTGCGTGGTATGTGTGAGTGTGTGTGGTGTGATGTGTGTGGGGTGATGTGTGTGGGGTGATGTGTGTGGGGTGTGTGTGAGAGAATGTGTGTGTATAGTGTGTATGTGTTTGTATTTGTTTGCTGGTTTGAAATATTCCTGTGGGTGGCAATTTTAAAAAGTTTTTAAACCAGCAATTATATTGATTTAGATAATTTGGAATCTTAAGAAAAGCAGAAAGTTAAAAAAAAAAAAGCTATTACCTATAATCCCACCTCCAAAGATAAATTGAGTGTGTGTGTGTGTGTGTGTGTGTGTATTTCCTCTCAGTCTTTTTTCTTTAAAACACGTTTTGTCACAATTTAAAAATAACACGTATTCATTGCAGAAGAGTTGAAAAGTGCTTTATTAAAATATCAAGAATATAAAAGCCAATAAAATCCTCTTCTCCAAGGTAACAACTGTTAACAATTTTGTTTCCTTCTAGCTTTTTAATTAATATTTATCATGGTTATTTTTCTGATTATAGAAGTAATAAATGCTCTTTGTAGAAAATTCCCAAAGAGAAATTAGAAAAATTATAAACATGCAGAAAATTCAAGAGCACAGAGAGGCATGAGGATAATGTTGCTGCCCCTGGTCTCTGCCGCCTCTGGGGAGGCGCCCTGGGGTCCCAGGCTTCTCCTAGGCACTTGGATCTGTGGACTCTCTGATCTGTGGGGTTTCATAACTGAGGGCGTTTCATTTAAACATGCCCTTCAGATGATGACAGGGTGTTGGGTGTCTAGTGCAAACAGGGAAACTGAGGACACAGCTGTGTGGTCGAGTGTGTGCGCGGGCAGCTTGTATGCACGACTTCCATAGTCCTCGCCATAACCTGGCCAGGGCCAACTCTGGTCAACCCCACTCTGTGGTAGAGGAAACCGAGGCTCAGAGAGAAGTAACTGGCCCGATGTCTTAGTCATCTAGTGCTGCTATAACAGAAATGCCACAAGTGGATGGCTTTTAACAAAGAGACAGTTCTCTGTCGGCTTTGAAAGAAGGTCCTTTGTCGTCAGCCTTCCCTTGGTCTGGGAGCGTCTCTGCACAGGAACCCCAGCTCCAAAAGATGCGCTCAGCTCCCGACACCGCTTTCTTGGCGGTAGGAGGTTTCCGTATGTCTCCGCTAGCGTCTCTCTTTTATATCTCAAAAGAGATTGGCTTAAGACACTCTCTAATCTTATAAACCTCATCGGTATAACTGCTGCTAATCCATCTTATTACATCATAGTGATAGCATTTACAACACATAGGGAAATCACATCAGATGATAAAATGGTACACAATCATACAATACTGGGAATCATGACCCAGCCAAGTTGACAGATATTTTTGGGGGACACAGTTCAACCCATGACTTACCCAAGGCCGCACAGTAACAACCGTGGGATTGGGTGCCAGGCCTCGGGACTCCGCGTGGACAGAGCCCACGTCTGCACGCCCCAGACCCAATCAACTTCTGGTCCCAGGCTTCTGTGCAAAGTGTGACCTGCCTGAGATTCAAGCTCCAAGCCTCAGGTGGCCTCTGGGATGGGGTGGTGGAGGACGAAGCACCCTGTCCAGCCTAGACCGACGTGGACCCTCGGAGTCGACTCAGATTTCGTCTCCAGCTCCAGGAGAGACTTCTGGAAAAATGACCGTCTGCTGCCCCCTAGAGCTTGGCTTCTGCAGATCCTCCGCTGGAGCCAGGATGGCCGACTTACAGCCCTGTGCCCAGCCGCCGCCGGGGCCCTGAGAAGAGTGGGGTCAGCCTGACGGAAGAGGAGGGGGCAGGGCAGAGGGGGCAGGGCGAACGGGGCTTTGCAAGAGAGGTCCCCCGTGCACACCCACTGTCAGAAGAGGCTGTGGGCTTTCTTACCAAAGACGTGGGGAAAGAGTGTGGGGGTGAGGTACTGGGGGTGTACACACTCACGGACACACACATTCACACCCAGACTCACACAAACACACAGTCACACTCACTTATGCATGCATTCACACTCAAACTCAAATACACACTTGTCCATATTCATGTAAGCTTACACCCGCTGACATGCCCACACTCATACACACATTCACACACAAACTCAAATACAAACCCACAGCCACACATTCAAACAGATCACTTACACACACACACATTCACACTCACACACTCTCACAAACACTCAGACACTCACAAGCACATTTATATACTCACACACTCTCCAACACACGCACACACAGTCACACAAACTCTGATGTAGGCCAAGCCAAAACCCAAAAAACCAAACCCATTGCCGTTGAGTCAATTCCAACTCCTAGCGACCCAGTGGGACAGAGTAGAACTGCCCCATAGGGTTTCCAAGGAGCAGCTGGTGAATTCGAACTGCTGACCTTGTGGTTAGCAGCCAAACTGTCAACCACTTCACCACTAGGGCTCCAGGCTTGGAAATAGCTCTGGACTGATGGGAGTCCAATTTTGTAATTTTAAAAAATAAGATCTGATAGAGAACCCAGAAATAGACTCCCACAAATACGTCCAACTGATTTTTGGCAAAGAAAAGCAATTCCGTGAAGAAAGGATGTTGATGTTGTTACCGTCGAGCAGATTCTGACTCATGGCAATGCTTTAGGGCAGAGTAGAACTGCCCCATAGGGTTTCCAAGGCTGTGGTCCCTATGGAAGCAGACTGCCAGGCCTTTCTCCAATGGAGCCACTGGTGTGTTCAGACCTCCAACCTTTTGGTGAGCAGCTGAGCGCTTAACCACTGCACCACCAGCGCTCCTTGGAGAAAGGATAGCCCTCCTCAAAATGAATCTCCACCCTAACCACACATCTGATAAAAAACTAATAACTCAAAAGGGACCACATGCTTACATGTAAAATATATAACTATGAAACTTTTAGAAAGAGAAAATACAGGAGAAACTCCCAGATGTATGACTAGACAAGGAATTCTTAGACTTCACATTAAAAAGCACTGTCCATAAAGGGAAAAATCGACAAATTGGACGTCATCAAAATGAAAAACCTTTGCTCCCCATGAGACCCTGTTAAGAAGATGGAGAGACAAGCTACAGACTGAGAGAAAACGTGTTCCGATCACGTGTCTGACAAAGGGTTAGTTTCTAGAATATGTTAAAAACAAACAAACCATGCCCATCGCCGTCGAGCTGATTCCGACTCATGGCGACCCCATTCGTTACACAGTAGAACTACACTCCAGAGGGTTTTCTTGGCTGTCATCTTTACAGAAGCAGATCGCCAGGCCTGTCTTCCATGGTGCTGCTGGACGGGTTCAAACTGCCAAGCTTTAGGTTAGTCCTCAGGCACAAACCATTTGTGCCACCCAGGGACCTTAGCATACAGTCGTGTCTCTCAACTGCACAATTAAAACAAACAAAAAAAAAAAAAACCATTGCAGTTGAGCCAATTCCGACTCATAGGGACCCTATAGGACAGAGTAGAACAGCCTCATAGGGTTTCCAAGGAGTGGCTCGTGGATTTGAACTGCCGAGCTTTAGGTTAGCGGCCAAGCTCTTAACCACTTTGCCTTACTCTCTGAAATAGAACATTACGTGATTTGGACATTGTGCAAACACCATGTTGTATGCAGGCAGTCCCGGGTTACTAACACCCGACTTATGTACAATCCCTAATTCCTGACTTTGTACAACCCCTAGTTACAAACCAACCCCTGTAAAGCCTATTATATTAACATTCAAGGTACATACAATGGTTTGTGATAACAAATGGGCTCCTGGCAACGCAATAGCTTCATATACAAGAGACCTGAGATACACATGTTGCCTGCAGAAAGCTGTTTTCGCTACATCTGGTTACCTCTGCTACTTCCCATGCTCCGATCAGAGTTTCTGAACTTATGGGACCAGGGACATATACGCAGTTGGACGTTGCCTGAATAGGCGTTATGTGTCGCATGACTATATATAAAAAACTCTCAAAATTCAACAGTAAACACACAAACAATCCAGTTAGAAAGTGGGTGTGATGGTTAAGATTGTGTCAGCTAGGCTGGTCCGTGATTCTCAGTGTTACGGCAGTAATATAATGTTGAGATCACTTCCCTGTTGAGATTGAATATGTGATCACCCCTATGATGGGATCTGCTGTGAGCCAGTCAGTGGAAAGGGAGTTTCCTTGGGTGTGTGACCTGCATCGAATATCCGCGGACATACTGGCAAGGCTCAGGAGCTTTTTGCTCGTGCTGAATCCTGCAGCTGGCTCCTGTTCGTCTGACCTCCAGTTCTTGGGACTTGAGCTAGCAGCTTACCTGTGGTGTTGCCTGCCGATCTTGGGATTCGTCTGTCTTCGCAGCCTGTGAGCAAGGGCCCTGCTGTCTGACCTGCGGATCTTGGGTTCGCCAGCCCCTGTGGCTGCATGAATTAGGAGAAGCCTCTATCCTGACCCACGGACGTGGGACGTTCCAGCCACTAAAACTGCATAGCCATTTCCTTGATATAAATCTCTCTCTCTCTCTCTCTCTCTCTCCCTATATATATACACATATATATATATGTATATAGACATATGTATATGTATATGCTTTACTGGTTTTGCTTCTCTAGCGAACCCGGCCTAAGAGAGTGGGCAAAAGATATAAAGAAACATTTCACTGAAAGGATGGCAAACAAGCACACGGAAAGATGTCCAACGTCACTGGCCGCTGCTGTTGGGTGCCATCAAATTGCTCCCTTGCATGGTGACCCTATGTGTGTCAGAGTAGAACTGCGCTCCACAGGATTTTTAGTGGTACCTCTGGGTGGACTCGAACCTCCAACCTTTCCATTAGCAGCCAAGCGCGTTAACTGTACAACCCAGGAATGTTAGAGAGCCACAGAGTCAATTATACATCCTGGGGCAGGGGGTGGGGTGGGGTGGGGGCCAGCTCCTACTCCGGGGATGGGAAAATCCGGGCTAAGGCTGGCTTTAGTTACGGTCTCGATAAACAAGATGCGTGTCTAACTGTTGCTGAAAAGGTCGTTTCTGTGTTGTTGCTGGGCACCGTAGAGTCAATTCCAGCCTGTAGCGACCCCAGGTGACAGAGTAGAACTGCCCCAGAGGGTTTCCTAGGCTGTCATCTTTACAGGAGCAGAGCACCACATCTTTCTCTTGCGGAGCTGCTGGGTGGGCTCGAACCACCGACCTTTCGATTAGCAGCCGAGCGCTTAACCTTTGCACCTCCAGCACTGGCCGTTAGGGAGTGACAAATAAAACCATGATGGGGCATCACTGCACACCTGTCAGAACGGCTGAGGTGGGAGCAGTGACGACACAGAGCCGGTGAGGACGTGGAGGAAGCGGACCTCAGGCGCTGCTGGTGGAATGTCAAACGGTAGAGCCACCCTGGCAAACGGCCAGGCAGCGTCTTAAAGGCTGAACGTGTAGCTGCCACCCAACGCAGCCACGGCACCCCTGGGCGTTCATCCCAGGGGAGTGAAGACCCATGTTCCCACAAACACCTGGATGTGAGCGTTCGTAGTACTCTTACTCAGGGTAGCCGGAGACTGGAGACAATCCGGATGCCGGTGGTGGGTGAAGGGTTAAACAAGCTGTAGTGCGTCCACACTGTGGGGATAATAAAGTAACTGCTGATATACAAAACAACCTAGAAGAATCTCCGAGGAATTACAATGAGTGAGAAAAAGGCCAACCCCAAAAATGACAGGCTGTATGGTCGCGCTGTTCCGATAAACAACAAAATTATAGAAATGGGGAACAGGTCAGGGTTGCTGGGGATCGGGGATGAGATGGGGACGGGGCTACAGAAGGACAGTGGAGCGGCCCGGGTAGTGATTGAATTGTTCCGTATCGTCACTGTATCACACCAGTAACCTGGCTGTGAAATGACAGTTTTTGCAAGATGTTAAGCATTGGGGGAAACTGGGCAAAGGGTAGATCCCTGGGGGTGCAAACGGTTTGTGCTTGACTGTTCACCTAAACGATGGCCGTTGAACCGCCCCACTGGTGCCACAGAAGAAAGGCCTGGTGATCTGCTTCTGTAACAATTATAGCCAAGTAAAACCTTATGGAGCTGTCCCACTCTGTACCATGTGGGGTCACCATGAGCCGGCATCGGCTCTGCCAGCGATGGGTCTGGGTTTGTCTGGTTTGGGGGAGGCAAAGGGTACATGAATCTCTCGCTGTTTTGCACAATTGCAGGTGAATCTACAATAATCTCAGAACAGAAAGGTTCACGTGTTTTTTTAAACGTGCTCAGTAATAAACCAACACTTGAAAGAAACACACCAAGGTGTGGATGGTGGGCATCGTGGGGAGGTTCTGACTTTTTTCCTTTTATTTCCTTCTTTTTGCCTTCTGTATGAGAGCGTGCTACTTTGTGACTAGAAAAGAATATCACAAGTTACTTACACCAAGCAAAATGTTTAAATAGTTCAGGGTGCCTCAGTCTGGCCACATAGAGGCAGGGCCACGTGGGTCCCAGTGGGGAGGTGGGGCGCCCTGCCCAGATAGAGGGACAGCACCTATTAAAGCTGGGTGTCCTGTCCAGTCAGACCTGCCTTCCGCCTCCTGAGATTCAGCAAAGCAAGCCCCCTTCCGGGGCCAGAGGACAAGTCTCTTAGGCTGCCTTAGATGGAGTGCTGGGCAGTGAGTCAGCCTGCCCGAGTTTGGCAATTCTCAGAGCTTCTATCCTCTAACTTGCAAACGGGAATAACAGCACCATATATGTGGAAAAGTTATATGAGTCTAACTTATGTAAAAGTGTTCTGTCAACTCTTAAGTTCTGGCAGGTGTACACTTTGAGGATTGCTAAATGGCAGTTGGCAATCTTCATTCTTGATCCCTAGGGAATGGTTTTCTGGGCATTCTTGCAGGGGAAAGGGTGAGGAGAGAGGGCAGGAGGGGGGTGAAGGGGAGAGGGAAGAGTGGGAGAGAGAGAGACGGAGAGAGGGATGGGAAGGAGAGTCAGAGAAGGAGATAGGGAAGGAAGAGGGAGATGAAAGAGAGAGACAGAAGGGGGGAGGGAGAGGGTGATGGGGGAGAGAGACGGGGAAGGAGAGGGTGTTGGAGGTAGAAGAGAGAGACAGGGAGGGAGGGGGTAAGGGAAGGAGAGCTAGAGAGAGAGAGGGGGAGGGAGAGAGACAGAGAGGGAGGGGATAAGGGAAGGAGAGCTAGAGAGAGAGAGGGGGAGGGAGAGAGACAGAGAGGGAGGGGATAAGGGAAGCAGAGCTAGAGAGAGAGAGGGGGAGGGAGAGACAGGAAGGGGATAAGGGAAGGAGAGCTAGAGAGAGAGAGGGGGAGGGAGAGAGACAGAGAGGGAGGGGATAAGGGAAGGAGAGCTAGAGAGAGAG